AGGACTGCGGCTCTCTAGGACCGAACTTGCCTACCCCTGTTCTATACCCACAAAACAGCAGGCTGTAAAAGACTTAATGTTTTAGTGCTGTCAAATGATTAATCGCGATTAATCGCATTCACAATAAAAGTTTTGTTTACATAATATATGTGTGTGTACTGTGTAGATTTATTATGTATATATAAATACACAAACATACATGTATATATTTAAAAAAGATTGACGTGTATATATATATATATATATATATATAATTTATATATATATATAAATAAGCCTTAGTAATCATGAAGACATTGATTAGCTTGTTCAGGTGTGTTTGATTAGGGTTGGAGCTGAACTCTGCAGGACTGCGGCTCTCTAGGACCGAACTTGCCTACCCCTGTTCTATACCCACAAAACAGCAGGCTGTAAAAGACTTAATGTTTTAGTGCTGTCAAATGATTAATCGCGATTAATCGCATTCACAATAAAAGTTTTGTTTACATAATATATGTGTGTGTACTGTGTAGATTTATTATGTATATATAAATACACACACATGCATGTACATATTTACGAAATATTATGTTTATATATTAAATATATTTATAAATAATATAAATTATATGAATATACATATATGCATGAAAATACATGTAAATATTTAAAAATATATATACTGTATGTGTGTGTATATTTATATATACACAATAAATACACACAGTATGCACATATTATGTAAACAAAAACGTTTATTTTGGATGCGATTAATCGTGATTAATAATTTGACAGCACTAGTTTTTACCTTTAGCACTATAATTGTAGCACATTACATACACGTATGACTTCGTACGGAGACTTTTACCTTCATGATAGCTGAACACCTCCATACTTGGCTCGGTGTAGGGGTTGTACGCAGGCTTGAAGCGCAATTTTGTGATTCCTGAAAGAAAACATTTCAAAATCATGGTCAATGAACTTTGGGATGTCTAAAAGTCAGACAGCGAGCAATTTACCAGGTTTATTAATAAATTAATGAACATTCAGGATTCTTCCTTCGCTGTAAATGGATAATTATACAAATAATGATGATTTAAAAAAAAGTAGAATCTCACACACACTCATGTATCTTGTTATTAAAAAGCAAGGAGTGTAGTACCTAGTTTGGTAAAGAACTGGTGCAGGACGCCCATGAGGTTTCCCAGCGTAAGGCCATAGTCAGCCACCACTCCCTCGATCTGGTGAAACTCCGCCAGGTGAGTAGCATCCAGAGATTCATTACGGAAAACTCTATCGATGGAAAAGTACTTCACGGGTGTGAACTTCTCCTGAAAGATTATACCACAGAGACGAGTGAGATCTGAACTAAAGAGCGTTGAAACGAGCAGTGAGCCTGTGTGTGTGTGTGTGTTCACCTGCTGTGCGAGTTTATACAGCATGCGAGCGCTGACCGCTGTGGTGTGTGTTCGCAGGAGGTTCTTCTGGGCTTCTTCAATCTTCCAGTCATACTTGTATCTTAAAATTTATTTGAGATGTTAAAATTACATTAATCTACAAATATAAAGTACTGTTCAAAAGTTTGAGTTTTTTTTTTTTTTTAAACCAAGGCTGCATTTATTTAATCAAAAATACTGTACGAACAATAGTATTATGAAATATTATTACAATTTAAAAGAACTGTTTTCTATTTTAATGCATTTTAAAATGTAATTTATTCCAGCATCATTACTCCAGTCTTTAGTGTCACATGATCCTTTAGAAAGCATTCTAATATGATGATTTGCTGCTCGAGAAAACATTTATTATTATTATCAATGCTGAAGACAGTTGTGCTACTTAAAGTTTTTGTGGAAACTGTTATAGATTAAAAAAAAAAATTCAGGATTTTTTTGACGAATAGAAAGGTCAAAAGAACAGTATTTATTTGAGATAGAAACATTTTATAACAATTGTCTTTACTGTCACTTTTGATCATTTTAATGCAACCTTGCTGACTAATTTAAAAACAAATAGCATACATAGAATATAATGTGGATCATCTTACCCCTGTGATCCGTAACCTCCTTCAGAATGAACCTGCTTCACTCTCTCCAAATAGTCCTGAGGAAACTCGTGAGCAAGGGCTGGGTCTGTGAAATACACAAAATATTATTTGAAAA